GGGCATAAAGGATGACACCTCGGGGTGTCACTGGCTCCCGGACGGGCACCAGTCGCCGTCCCAGGGCGGAAAATCCCCTGGGAGCTGCCAGGCTGCGGTCACAAGACGCAGAGGAAACAGCCAGCACGTGACATCCCCTTCCCGGCGAGGGAAATCGGGGTGCTGGGGCCTTGATCCACCCCGCCGCCCCCCCTTTTCTGCCTGCTCGGCGCAGCCTGGCTGCCTGCACCCTTCCTGGCAGGCAGCAGCTCCCAGCTCAGCGCTGCGGTGTTGTCCTGGGTGCTTTTCCCCCGAGGCTTTGAGCGATGTCACCCAGAGCCACCCGTGCCCTCACCCTGCCAACGAGCAGCGCTAACGAGCGGCGTCTTGCGTTAATATATACAAGCTAATTACCGGCACGGGGAGGAGTTTAGAGCACGCGGCCGGGGAAAAAATGCTGACGAAGAGGAGGAAGATCAGGGTCCGTTCTGCCGTAGTGTTCCTGGGGTGCTTGGATGCGTGCGTGTCCCCAAGGAGATTGTCCTCCCCCGGTCTGTGATGGGACACGCGCGTGTCCCCAAGGAGATCATCCTCCCCCCATCTGCGGTGGGAGAGGAGCTTTGCTGCGGGAAATCAGCCGGTGTAGGAGGTTTTGGGGCAACCAGGCGGACATGGGGACAACCTTGGGGACGTTCTAGGTGGCCCTTGGGCTCACCCAAGTGTAGGGTGATGGCTTTTTGCCTCCTGTGAGCATCTTTGGGGCAAAACAGCTGAATTTTGGGTCGTGGCATCGTTGTTTCTGGAACCGTTGGGGCAGGGATTTAATCGTGGTCTCTTTTGTCCCTCAGCTCATCCTCTTCGGGCTCAGCAACCAGATGGTGGTGACGTTCAAGGAGGAGAACACCATCGCCTTCAAACACCTCTTCCTGAAGGACTACGTGGACGGCGCGGATGACTCCTACGCCGTCTACACGCAGCGCGACCTCTACGACCGCATGTTTTATGCCGTGGAGAAGGTGAGAGCGCAGGGGGACACGGGGGTGGCTCAGGGACACGGAGGTGGCTCGGGACCACATCCAGCTGCTGAAGGCATCTCCTTCTCCAGTACTTGGCCATTCCCAACGAGACCATCGGCCGCTATGCCTACGTGCGGGGGGAGAGCGGAGGGAATGAGTCAGCCCTCATGCTGTGCCAGCAGTACTACCGTAAAGGGCGCATCGATCCCGCCAACGACACCTTCAACATCGACCCCAAGATTGTCACAGGTGGGTTTTGGGAATGGTGAGGCTGAGGTCGCTTGTCCCACGGCCACCACTGGGTCCCAGGGAGGTTTCTGGTCCTCGTCCTGGGCTTGAGAGGGTCCAAGGGGTCTGCGTGGGGCTTTGGGCTTCCCTGAAGGCGCTTCTCCCTCCCTGCAGACTGCCTGGGAGTGGATCCCGAGGACCCACAGCCTCTGCCCCCAGAGCTGGACCGCAGCTACAAGAACTTCACCCTCAAATTTCACAAGTAATTGCCGGCACCTTCCTCTCAACTTGGGGTGTCCCAGCGTTTGGGTGCTGGGGACATCCCATCGGCACAGGGTATATGGGCGAAACGGGATCCCCAACGTGCGGAATTCCTCGCGTTGAAGCCTGCTGCCGGGATGGAAAAGCCCCGGTTGGTTTTAAAAACCGCTTGCAGGATAGAAACAAATCCATCTTTGTGCCGAGGGAGATGTGAAACCGGTGAGGTTGCACAACAAAGCAGCTGTTTTCCGGCCCCGTCTCCATCGGCGT